AACGGGCAAAAACAACATATTTAAATAGTCAAAAGACATGAAGAATAACAAAAACAAATTGCAAACAAAGCCCAACGCAATAGTGGCACTTAAGACTCACTCGCACTCACAGTCACACCCCGCAACAAAATGACGACCGACAACTGGTGGAGAATAAAGGCAGAAAGTTAGTTGAATTTATGTCGCCTTTCAAAGTGGCTTATTTTTGTGCACCATATTGTTGTTTGTGTTGCTTTTTTGATTTTAACGTTTTTTCACTGAATTTATGTAAGTAAGTGTACATGGATAAGTAGTTGGCCAGCGCAACAGCGAAACAAAACTGAAATTGTAAGGCGACACTTCTACATATTTATTTAAAGCCATTGTTTTGATCGTCAGCTCGTTGACTCAGCTTAGTTTTGTTTCACTAATTTTCAAACTAATAATTTAACCAACAACATTTTTGCTACTTAAAATAGTATAATATGTATGTAGTTAGGCGGGTTCGGAGTATGTTCCGAAAATAAAACAAAATACTTTAAAGGGGGGAAACTTTGAACAAAATATTTTGTGAAGAGTTTTATTATCGTAAATAATTTTTTACATCTACCTAAAATATTTCACCGTAACTTTACTAAGGTTGACAGACAATGGACTATACTAAAAAAAAAATCCAATCCAATCATTGTTTCATGCACTGTGTGGCAAGTGGGCGCCATCTTGTTGAAACCGCATATTGTCCAAGTCCATGTCATCTAACTCAGGCCATACAAAGTTTGTTATCATGTCACGATAACGCTTCCACTAACAGCATTACCGACATCATTTTCGAAGAACTACGGTCTGATGAGTAAGCCAGCCGAAAAGCCAAATCAAATAGTGAATTGTTGTAGCTGCATAATTTTTTCTTGAATAACATGATGATTCTCAGTACCCCACACTTTTTACAAAACGACCATTTTTATAAAATTCTTTGATTACTTTTACACGTTGTTCAACTCAGTATCGCTCCATGGCTAAGTCCTCCAAAGCCTGTATTAAAAATTTTATTAAAAATTTATAAAAAAATATTTGCACATCACAAAGAACGCACTTTCATTGTAAGGCCTTTCAGAAGCCTATCAACAACTCGATATCTGTACATATGTATTTATATTCAGAAATATCGATAACACCTATAATCTAATGCTCATCATCTTCTGGAAAAAAAAGAAAGTAGAGAAGTGCACGTGAAAAGAGGCGGAGACAACGGAGGTTATTACTCATATTAAGTACAAGAAAACGAGCCATGTTCGAGGTGAACTAACATGAAACTAGTCCATTGAATCCATAATTAAAAATAAAATAAAAAATTTTAATTCAAATAAACATTTTCATAATAAATTTTGACAAAACGGAGAAAAGTGGATAAGGGAGCAAATATCGTACAGTTTCATAAGTAGAGTAACTCTTCTTCTTACCGTTCGTTTCCTGGCCGGCTGTGGGGGTGTTTTGGTTAGTGTATGGTGTTAGTGTGGTTTGAATAAATTGTAAGAGAAATGGAAAAAATTGTAATAGAAATGAATGAAATTCTAAAAGATAAAAGCAGATGCAAAAAAACAGGCGATCTCAGCTATAGGCATTTTTGGGCAATCATCTGATAGTGTTTTTACTTAGGAAACTGTTCGATGGCGTGGGAAGACCACTCTGAATTATTTTTGTTTTCAAAAAAAAATTTTCATTAAAAACAGCTTCACGGTCGATTAAATCGTTGAACATACATAACATAAAAACGTATATATCTTTACTTTAAGCAAGAAATTTTACAGAAAATCATCAAAAATTTTGGGTATTGTTGGGTCTTGTGAGGAATGGTTACGAGAGCACTCTCAAGTGTACAAATCCTTAAATGTCTCATACAAATATGTATGCGCCCTATCATTCACGATAAATAAACCAATAAATACAGTTCAAGTATGGAAACAAATAAAATATATACATATATGTAATTCAAAAGCAATCTCCCGCAGCTGTCCCACTTTCTATAGATCATAAACTTTAATTTATAATCACAAATAAATTCCAAAGGCCAAGATGCAGCAAAACAATTCAGCGAAATACTTGCACACATATGCACATAAATATCTGTGTACATATATAAATTGATATGTATATATTATGTATATAACCCACCAACATTTGCTTGAATGCTATGTTCATATGTATGTATGTGACAGTGCCATTGTGCTAGTATGCGTACACGTGTGCGCCTATTTACAAATATATACTAAGCCAGATTTTGCAATCGCCAGTTGCTGCTGACCTCATTTTCCAAAACAGGCAGGCAACGAAGCGTATACTCCAACTCCGAGCAACATCTGCAGCCACTAGTGTCCCTCTCCCGCGCCCCCATGACGATAGCTGCTTTGACGATCGTGCAGCAAAGTAGTAAAAATAGAAACAATCCCGCCGGAGAGAAGAATGCAATAAATAGTGAACGCAGTTATACACAAAGCAGACATGTGGTGCAGATGCATACATATGTATGTATGCATGTACAAGTACATATTCACAACAAAATGATATCTGCGCAGAACTTGTAAATTATTCGAGAACTTCTAGAGGTTGGCGCTATCGAAAAGTGAGCACCACACAAAAAAAATAAAAATAAAAAATAAAATGAGTTGGTAGAACTGCAATTAAAGAAAGAAAAAATAAGTAGCAGCCTTAATAGATAGTAGAGCTGCAGCTGCGTGAAAATACGCAAGAGGCAAATACTTATCGCGGCGGGCTGTGCTTCGAGACTCTCACTTCATCAACAGTCGATCGTACCATCACCATTGGGCGTATTGTATGCATGTAGCAGCAGGTCTTCTTCATCTGCTCATCAGCAGTATCTACATAAGCATGCATGTATGTAGCGCTGCAATAGCGATTGGTGCTATTGATGATGCCTTTGGTTGCCCATGTATGCACTTACACACACGCCTACATACATGCATGCATACAACACTTTTTTTGTTCGCTTGCTTTTGTTGGCTGACCTAATTTCTAGATGCAATGCAATGCAATGCGATGGTGATCACTTTTCAAGTGTTTGCTTGTTGTTGTTGCTTTGTATGTGGCTCAATTGCAATGGTGCTGCTATTTTACTGCTTCCGCTGCCGCTGCTGGAAAGTCAAAGGGCTGTTGCATATATATGTTTGTATGTATGTATGACAGACAAACACACAGCCAAATTTACATTGCCACTGCTCTGGAAAATACTAGTAGATACATGCTTATTCTTACCTTAATATAGAAAGGCCCTAACTCGCTAAGTCGCTGAAATGCAAAAAAGCCGTCACTGGAAAACGCGTTTAATTGCTTAAAATGTTGAGGGGACTTATAATTCGATGAAATGCATCATAGTCAATCAAAAAGGGAATTTTCGATTTTTACTTAGTTACGAACTTTTGTATTTCAGCGACGATGTGAGATAGGGCCTTTCTATATTAAGGTATGTGGGTATGTATGTACCCTGCAGCGAAACCGCGAAGTAGTGAATCAAGTTTCTAGTTCCGTACCAGATCTTTATGGACAAAAACGGACTAGTGCCCACCAGTTCAAAATCAGCGAAATGTAGTACATTTAAAAAACTATTTCATTTCACTTTTTTCATTAGAAATCTATATCGAAGGTGACGAATTAAGAACTGGTTCGTAACTATGGAAAAAGGGATGCAGAACGAGTTAGATCTTATCTGTCGAATTTAGGACTACTTCGGAACTATCAAAAAAGGGAACAGCGGGGGGCAATTGAGACTTCCTATGACATCGCCATGTTTAATTCGCTAGTTCTTTGAATGCAAAAGAGATTTATCGCGAAGGTTCTAAATGCACTAGAAGCGCACCAGTTCAGTACTAGAGATTTCTCCCACAGGGTACTTATATAAGTCTGCTTGTAGTACTAAACTCGCAAAGCTTGCTGTGCCAAACGCGCAAAACAACAGCAATAACACCTTTACTCGTAGTTAGCTATGTATGTATGTATTTATGAAAATAGCCACTCACTCATTTTGCAAGGCAGAGTATGAATTTCACTGTCTCACTGTCTCGCCGCCTCGCCGCCTCGCCGACTGCCCGTCAACATCACCCGCTCCTGCCGCTGCCCATTGCATTAGGTTGCCGTTGTAAATGTTAGCTTGAACAAAGGCAGACAACAAAATACATATATTAATGATGGCATACGATTGCACACACACACACATACACACACGCGCGCGCATACAACAACAATCAAGTAGCAAGTGTTTTCCATGTATGCGTGTGTGTGTAGCTGTTTTTAAATAAACAAGCCACGCACAAATCAGACACTTCACCATTTTATTTTTGTTGTAACGCCGTGACCATGAAGTCACACACAAATATACGCGCGAACATCACACTCGCACAAACACACACGCAGGCACACATGCACGTACGTATGTATGTATATCAAAATCTACAGCAGTGCATTGCAGTGTATATTTGCACAGATTTGCAAACGATGATATATAAAAAACACTATGTATGTATGTATGTATGTATGTACATACAAACATACATACGAGTGCGTATTTGTGTGCACTCTGTTTTATTGCACATTGCATTCCACAACGCATTCGCCAACTTCAAATCGGAGCTGCTGACATTTTAAATAAATGACGAATGTTGAAGGTTGCGCCGTAGAATGAACAAATAAATCGACTAAAATCTCAAGAAAATACATATGTATGTATGTGTGTATGTATGCATTTATTGCAAACAGGAAAGTTGTTAATTTAGTAAATAAATAAATGTGATGAGAGTGAAGAAGATAGCATGACAAAAAAAAAAATTACGAATTTGCTTTCAAGTACATAGTTTGACGTAAATATCTCCACTAATGCCTCCTGTCTTCTCCTGTGTTGAAATATAAAACTTAAGCCCCGAAAGAAAACCTCCATAAATAAATACATATTTGCGTTTTAGCCATTTAGCCTAAATTTAACATATTTCTTCATTTTATTTTCCCTCTTTCAGAGCACACCTTGCAAACATCCAGTGATTCTCCTGCAGGATGTCAATTTTCTCGATCTGCACTCGCTGGTTGAATTTATCTATCACGGCGAGGTGAATGTGCATCAAAAATCCTTGCAGTCCTTCCTTAAAACGGCAGAGGTACTTCGGGTCTCTGGTCTCACACAGCAACAGGCCGAGGAAACTCATAGTGTAAGTTTTCCGCAAAAGAAATACGCATAGATATCCATTGGGGTGGTACTTAAAATATCAAAGTCTAAGTTTTTTATGATGCACCACTTTATTTTATTCTACGTACAAAATAAAGACATTCACGAAAATTTCAAAATGTTAAAAAAAAAACGTTTAGGGATTCGCTTTAATTAAAATAAAAAAAAAAATCGCAAAGTTTCGACAAAATTTTGACTTGAAATCTGATAAATTTTAAAAACTATTGAAACTTATCCGTAAGCTCGTTGAGCTATAGCTCGTCAAAATCGAAATTTTGCGATTTAAAAAAACAGAATCAATTTTTCAAAACCCCTAAACAATTTTTGTAGTTTTGGAATTTTCTTGAACGTTTTCATTTCGTACGTAAAACAAAATAAATATGTGCTCCATGATGTTGATATATTTAAGGACCACCCTAATATACACACATACGTATGTGTCATCATCATCCTCTTTCCTCATTTAATATCCGCTTTCGCTTTGTCCCTCCAACAGCAATTAGCTCATATACAAAATTTGGCGAATGCCGCCAACGCTACACGCACGCCCCACAACGCACACCACATTGCCCCCCACGATGAGCCGGCGTTATATTCGCGCAGCAGTGGCTCACCTCCACCACCCCCACCCACACAACAGCTGCCATTGGCCTCCACACACATCAACAGTCAGCTGTTTAAGCGCAGCATGGCTATGCTCAGACGCGAACGTCACAATTCCACACCATCGGCTGAGGACTCGAATAATGCTATGAAACGTTTACGTGGACCCGATAACGGTTTGCCGTCGAGCAGTAATAACAGCCCGGAAATTGTCCATCCACGCAGTTCGTCACCACAATTGACACCGGCCGATTTCTCAACCATCAAGCACAACAATAACAACACACCGCCTCTTAAGGATGAGAAACGTAAGTGTAAATATGCTCGAGAAAAGTGATGAAATATTCACAGCTTTATTCTAACTATGAATCAACTTTTTAGGTAATGGACCCTCCGGCAATGGTAATAATGGCAATAGCGACACTGGCAATGGTAATGGAAACGCCAATAGTGACAAAGTAGGCGGCAGCTTAACAGCCTCACCGCTGACACGCACTGCTGACGACGTCAAATCGGAACCCATGGAACTGGTCTGCTCCAATAACAATCCGACAGCAGTCGATGAGCACAGCAATGATTCTACTGGTGAACATGAGGCGAATCGGTCCATTAGCGGCGAAGGCGGCAAAGGTTCTTTGAGGTAAGCAAAATTAGAGCTTTTGGGTGTTGTATGTAATTGTGGGCTAATCGTAATTCATCATGCTCAACAGTTCGGGAAACGATGAGGAAATCGATAACAATATGCAACAACATCCACCGCCACCATATCTGATGTCACCGGCAGAGAGCAAGTTATTTCCGCCAGGCCCCTTCAATTTCCCCATGAGCGGTTTAGATCCTGCTGCGTTAGCTGGTGAGTATATTTTTTTAGTAATATATAGTAGTAATATCGAGTGACAGCTTAGACGATGAAGTGTTTTGTAGTGAAAGCTGCCTGAAAGTATTTCTGGCTTCTATGCAGTAGCCACTAAAATGTAGTCCACGGCGAAGTTTTATTGTGCTTATTAAAGATCTTTTACATAATAGTGAGCTTTTACGCGGTGACAGTCTCTATAAAATATATTGTGAGCTTAAAAAGCTCAACGTGCATGACCACGGGAATGAAACGGCCCGCTTAGATTAAGTAATACTGGGCGAAAGCTTAGACGATAGAGTGCTTTGTAGTGAAAGCTCCCTGAACTTTTATTTTCCTTTTTTGCTTTCTATAGCTTGTTTTTAGACCTAAGTGAGCTTTTACAAGGTGATAGTCTGTATAAAATATGTAATGAGCTTAAAACATCGAAAATCGATTTTGATCAACAACAACCAAAAAGAGCTTTCATTCTGGGGGTGTCCATATACATAAGATCTATAGAAATCCGGAAAAAGCATCTCCCGTAGGATACATTTCAAACTGTACTGATTCAGATGGGTTATGAGTGACGCTTGCCGAGTGTGGAGCTTTTTTAAACTTTCTATAATTTTTTTAGGTGCATGGAGAGAAGAAACTTTTTATATTATTTATATGAATGAATACAGTGCTAAAGCTCTCCTTGATCGACACTGATGGCCAAATTCACAGTGCGTAGTTAACTCAGAATCGGCAATGCATCAACTCATTTCTTTTTGTACTAAGTTAACCTTGAATTTGACCCTCATTGTCGATCAAAGAGAGCTTTAGCACTGTATTCGTTCATATAAATAATATAAAAAGTCTTTCTCTCCACGCACCTAAAAAAAATTATAGAAAGTTTAAAAAAGCTTAGTATGAAATATATCCTACGGGAGAATTTGGCCCTGAGTCAGGTAGATACATTACAATTTAGAAGGCAGATACATATTTTGAAGTATTTTGAAGGAATAGCTCGAACTTTCACACTTTGCATGCAAGTTTTTGGAGATGAAAACTTGATAGATTTCAATCTTTTGGTAATGTTGCGTAGCTTTATGCGAACATATTAAATTATACGCGTTTACACTGTTCTCAACAGGCCTTTCTTCACTTTCAGGTTTTAACTCGCAACTGCAGTCTGCTGCCGAATTATCAGTTTCTCCGCAAGGTGAGTACGCCGCTTCCATACATTCTACTATTCGCTCTTTCCGAACATTTCAATTCAAATCAATTCAAATTCATTTCTTTACATATTTACATCAAATGCAAGTATTTCCCTTAATTTATATAATTTTTTATTACATTTATAACTACGGAAAATTTTTAAGCAAAAATCAGTACTCCATAACATTTTCCAACATGAAATTTATAATTAATTTCTCTACTGTTTTGTTTACATTAATTTAACTTTTGGTTTATTTATTTACAAATAATTTAAACCGATTTTGCGAGGTGTAATAGAAAAAAAAACAAAAAGAAACAGAAAGGAATTATAGAAATTAAAGCCAAAGTTCCAAATAAAAAAATTTTTTATTCGCAAAAAACAAAAAAAAAAAAAAATTGTATGCCAAGGACGCAGTGGAATAAGAAGTGATGTTATTTTTTGTTCGAAATTCTTAGGTGATCAATGCACCAACTCATTTCTTACACAAATTTCTCGCTTGATTTCCAATTGCGCAACTCCTAACTGACTATGCCTGACTAATTTACATTTTGGTTATTTTTTCGCTCTTAAGAAAAACAAATCCGATACATCCATGTATGTATTTATGTAATTCAAATCATTTTCTGGTGTCAAAATTTTTTCCAACTTTATATTAAAATATATTTGTGTAGGTACATACATATTGTACAAACATTTATGCATAAATGTCTATGTATTCCGCCCACCACACCCACGCATTTCATCTTTGAAACTCCACATTCATATACGATGCACCGCTTCCGAAAGCACTGCGTTCATTGGCATTTAGATTTCGTTTTCGAGCACTCCTAACCAAAAGGCGTATTTGCGTCATTTAATCATTACTGTCTTGGAATAAGTTTTAAATATTAAGTAGATACTTTCTTGTGAAGACCATATATTACGTAAGCAGCAGAAAATTTCTTTCTTATTTGATTGTTTCGATGGTAAATACTCATTTCATTTGTATCCCCTCCATACGTGCTTAATGCAGTAAAGAACCATAAGGAATTGAATTCGAGTGATATGAAAATTTTAAAATAACGAATAACTAATTTTTGAGGTGGAAAAGGAAGAGTGGGGAAAAGGTGGAAGAGTAAGATTTATTGCTAATACTTCAAATCCACCATTCAAATTTTGCCACTACAAAACCATTTAGCGCTGACACATTAAGTTAGTTTATGCTTGTGTTGGTGTTAAAAATTAATTAACCAGTTTGCCAGATAATACAAAAAAAAAAAAAAGCAAGCAAAAAGTAACAACAATCTAACTTTTACACTGTCGCCTGCCGGCAACAATGCAACAACTGAGGGCTCTAAACTTCCAAATATGCGCGCACACAAGCGCCTTCGCTCCAACTACATACATACATACATATATGCGCTACCTACCACATGCCACATGCCGCATCAATTATTTAGCACACATTTGCCACTCATCACTCGCTTACGAGCTTGCTAGCTAGCAATAAAATCAGACAGACATAGCCGACAATCAGACAGGTTGATGCCACCACAACGGGCTGACTGCTGATGGTTGCTGTCTGCTGGCTGCTCACCGCTGGCTGTTTAGCGTGTGGGGAAATTTTAATTGATGCCTTTATGTTGCGGCCAACCTCAACAATTTGCCCTTACCCCCACGGGCGTGTGTGTGTGTGCGCGTGATAATGGCAAAAGTTTTGTCTATTCAAGTGAATGTGAAAATTTTACAGCTTCACACAGTCTCACACACATTACATACATACATACATACATACATATATGTAACTAAAGTGTAAAATAGAGATTACGCGTGTTTTAAAACCTTTTATGCTTCATGTGCGTGCGTGAAATATATGTATGTATGTGCGCACAAAGTTGTGGCTTGCGGCTACAGCCAGCCCCACTCTGCACTCAACACTTGCGCTTCACTTCGCTTAGCTTAGCTATTCAAAACCAAGCTGTGCAGTGTGCGGCGCTCATAAACTAGCGCCTCTAGCGCCTCACACATCATTCGTTCGTTTTTCATGTTTGTGTGCGTTAATCGGTGCAAAAGTATTTAAGTTCAATTTTGATTAGTCGCACGCACACACAACGGAGGCCAAGCAGGCATATGTAGTAGTACTAACAGCCGCACAAACACTTTCCATAGCCTGCATGTAGGCGCATTAGCGTATGCGCGTGTGTGCGTGTGTGCGTGTGCGTTCAACCATTCCACGCCTAATTAAGCTATAAATAATACATTTTAGTTGCGGCGCAACAAGTTTCACACTTTGCATGAATTTGTGAAGTTCATTTGAAGTTTATTTAGAAATTAACACATAAACGCACGCACACACACATCTGTATGTTAGGGTGCATCACTATCTTTACAAAAAAAAAAAAAAATAGTACTATTTTTCCATCGTAAATATAAACTTTATTATATTTGAAGACATCCGCCAAAATATTTTCGAAAAATGTTAAGATTTAATTGAACTGGACCTATTCATTCGCAAATACCTCCAGAAATCGAGCTTTTTTTTTGAATACGAGTAAAATTAGTTTTTCAAAACATTTTTTCTAAGAAATCACCTTCGATGATAGAAGATTTTAAGCTTCAAACGTCTACTAATAAATGTTTACATAGTTTATCTACAGCATCAAAATTAAAAGATTTTTGGGCGTATTTTCAAATCGGTCTAGCTCACCTAAAACTTAATATTTTTTCTGAAATATTTTGGACGAAGCCTTAAAATATAATAAAATTCATATCTCAGGCGGAAAAACTGCAACCTTTTTTTTGGTGCTGCACCCTAATGTAGGTGCATATATTTATGAAAGCAGGACTAGTGGCTGTTCACATTTAAATGCGTATTAATTACAGTTTGTACTGGGTTGTTGTTATTTGTATTGCTTTGTGCGCGTATTCCTCCACCGGTTTTTCTTTGCTCTTAATTTTTCGCACCCCCTCTTTTGGTTTCATCTAACAAAACGAAATCCTTATGGTTGCTTTACTGCAAAGTTGTATTTTTTTGGAAAAAAAAAAAATATTAAAAAAATTTCAGTCGTCCTCGTTGCAATTCCGTTCACAAACTTCAAAACAGTGTTCACATACGAAGCGCGTTTTCTTGCGACTTATGTACGTCCACCGCCTCGTCGTGATCGCCAACGCTTGCATCATAAGTAGAGAGCGTAATTAAAAAATAAAATAAAAAATAAATAAAATGTGTAAAAAAGAAACTTTCATACTCAAGAAAATGGATGTGAGATAAAAATATAGTTTCCCTTCGGGATTTTTATTTTTATTTTTTTTTTGTTTTCAAAGGCTGCCAAAATAGTCGCACTAATAATCATAAGCTATGCAGCGCTTCGGCGTTGGTTGTTGAGTGAACAGCTCAAAATATATATTTTCCGTGATATTGGTTTTTGTGTGCTAATTTTGTATTCGTATTTTATGAGCATATAAACAAATGAAATTTTCACTATTTCTATTTCGTAATATTTACAACATTTTTCGTTCGTTCGTTTGTTGTGTATGCTTTCGTTATGTTGCCAAATATATTTCAAAAATTTGTAATTGCATACTTTTTGTGTTCTGTGTAAAAACAAGCCCACACCCACATACATACACATACCTAATATATATATATATATATATATATTTTTTTTTGTTGAATGTTTAGTTGTACATCATAACACAGCTTAAAAATTATTTTGTTCTATTAGAGATTTTTGAAACGTATTAAATAAAAGTTGTAAATTAGAAATAAAAAAAAAATAATTATCAAATATTTTTATCTAAAATTTTAAATTTTTTTCTTTTTAATTTGCCGCCATTAATGAAGTGTGTGCTAAATTTTCTTTTGATTTTTTTTTTCGTTTTCAAATAAATGTGTCTTCTTTTTTCTTTTTTCATTTTCACACACACACACACTTTTAACTAAATATTCCAGTGGAAATGTTTTGAAAATTTTTAAAATTTATCGTCGTGTATGTGTGTTTATTGATCATCAAATAATTATTGTAGCAACATGAAATGCCCAAGCAGAGCATACAAAAGTACCCATTACACATTTTAATTTCAAAAAAAATATTGAATATATGCCATATGATATGTTTATTAACCCTTGGGTTATGACTAAAACCAAAAAAAAAATAACTTTGTAATTGTAATTGTTTTTGTTTGCCTTCATTTAACAAACGGATTTTTAACGGACTTATTTCGCTGGCCGCTTTAAGCGTGGTCGCACTTTTAGCTTACGCATACATACTTAATTACGTACACATATAAATATACTTGTTTTTGTTTTTAATTTTCTTCAGTTCTCATCATTTCACATAAAAACCTTTCGTTTTGTGTTTTCCATTCAATGTTGCAAATGATTTTTATAATATATACGTGTTGAAAACTAACTCAGGTATTAAGGGTTAATGTGTAACAAGCGTAATATATGTACATGCAAGAGAAAAACTTATAAATTTACGTACATAAATATGTGCAACTTGCCGTTGTACCTGGCGTATGAGTAACCCTTATGCGACAATTGCAATTTTTCGCGAATACAAAAGTGTGCACAGCTAAAAAAGCACACACACACACACACAGAGTATACAATATTAGAAACAGCGATTATTTCAAATTTGGTTCAAAATTTTTTTATTTTTTTTTTTTTTTCAAAATTTTTTTTTTTTAGTTTCATAAAAAAACATAAACTTTATCTACATATAAACACCATAGGGGTATTTACTACGCCCGCGAATAAAATGAAGAAAACCGATTGGCTACAAACACACTCACCGCATCGGCACTAAGTCCCGACCAACCTCGTTCCCACAAGCCAGCACAACTTTGTTGGTTGCTGTCACACCGCTCCTCAAGCATTACAAAGTGGCAACTTTTCTATTTGAAAAGATACCAAAAAACCCCTCGAAATTTGAACTTAACAAAACGCCAAAAATGTTATTAACCGCACACCCCCAACTCACAAACACACACACGCACACAAATGCACGTATCCAACTAAATTGAAAAAAAAAACAAAACCCATAAAGCAAGCATCGAAGCGCATTCGCTTTGGCAGCAGCTACATACAATGCCAAAGTTGAAAGCCCACAACTCCCCCAATTAAATTAGTTAAATGAAAAAATGTTTCCCCCACACCCGCTCAGATCACACGCACTCACTCACACCCAAACATATGTACATATAAATAGTTTAACTAACAGCGCTCTCTTAGTGCCCATGCCTACTAACTCGCTCACACACTCTCTATCTCTCTCACTATCTCTCTCTCTCTCTCTCTCTCATAAAGACACTCATACACCCTCACTCGTAAGCACACCTTCACAAATTGCTAATCAAATTCTTGTTGTAACTTCGCTCAAATTGCTTATTTCTAAGCTCGAACACTAACAAAAACAAATACTAAACACTAACTAATTGCACAAACCACAATAACAAGAAAGAAGAACACTAACAAATACGAAGACCACGTGCCTCTCTACTAAACAAATGTTGCGCTTAATTCGATAACTAATCACGCAGAATTAGAAAAACAAAATCGTGTCAAGAATGGAAATTTTTTGATCAAATCATTTGGTTTACTACGAAACCAAGAAATCAAAATAAGAAAAAAAAAAAACAAACACACATACAAAAAGCTAACTCAGTGAACGTTTATGATCAGTGCAAGCAAACATATAGATACAAATAAATACATACATACAAACGTAGTACGTACTATTTAAGCTATTGGAAAATTACATACATACATACATACACACGTATACATAAAATTGGTGGAGCTAAACAAAAACTATATTTTTTGCTTTTAGACTTAAGTTCCAAAATCTTGAATAGCAAAATTGTAAAATTTACATTTTAAGTTAAAATTAAGTATTTGCTTTTGCAATTGGAAGCCATTGTAAGCGTACAAATACATATGTACATCTAAGCAAGAAAACAACCACAAAAATGTGCGAAAACTATTTCCAAATTTAAAAAAAAATTCGCTACAAATATTTGAAAAATTTGCATGAAAACTCAACTCAGAAAAAGTAAATAGACTTACAAAGACAAGACATCACTTTCGAAACAGTCCAAATTCCAAATATTTAACGCAAGTTTTAAACGGCCTCAACTTTCACTGACACCACAATAGGTACAAGAACAAAGCACACAAAAATATAAAAATATTTAAAATTTTTCAAAACTTGAAAACTAATCTCTAGATTAGGGCGTAGGGCGTTCCTTAAAATATCAACATCAGAAAATAGAAAATCCACGAAAACTTTAAAATTAAAAAAGAATATGGCTCGCTACCAAGGTTTAAAAAAAATGAAATTTTTTTATCACAAAAAATCGACAAAATGTCGACTTTGAGCAGCAATTACTCAGCGAGTCTATGAATTAATACGAATACCTTTCAAAAATTTGTTAATTTTATTAGATTTCAAGTCCAATTTTTGCTATTTAAAAAATTTGCCTAAGATTTTAAAATTTTCGTGGATGTCTTTATATTTTGTACTTAAAACAAAATAAACGCTTGCGCCATAGAAAATTTTTTGCGTTGATATTTTAAGGACCGCCCTACCCTACAGGCTCTTAGGCTGAGTTCACACGTCTAGATGTGGCAAAGCGTTGGTTAATTGAATTTCTATAAATTTCGCCAATTTTTGTCCAAAGCACTTTTTTTACTTACATTAAGTTATGTTTACTTATTGTTTACGTATTTTTTAGTCATATAAGGCTTAAAATTATTACAGCAACAACAACAATTACACTAGCCCGAACATTAGCAGGCACAAAATTACCAATTCATATGTAACTAAGAACACTTTGGTATCTGGACACGTTGAAACGTACAAACAAAAAAAACAAAAAACGAAAAACAAAAACAAAAACCTTACTAAACCGCAAAAAGACAACAACAAATCCCAGAGCACAAATTACACAACACAGCACATAGTGTTTATAAGCGTAAACAGTACGACAAAATTCGTGCAACACACTTCCCAGCCGGAAGAAAATGGAGCCCACAGAATGTACGCTAACAGATTTGGGGGAAAATGTTTGCAAGAAAAAACTTATTTGGATAAAAATTTAAGTAAAAAAAATAATTTATATAGAAAAAAATTTGGAAAGAAAAATGTTTTTTTTTGGTATAGGATCAATTTTAAATAAACCAAATTTCGAAAAACAAAAATATCTGCAAAATTTTTTCGGCGACCAAAGTAAATAAAATTTTTTTTTAATAAAGTACCAAAAATTTTCTCGGCTTCTAATTTGTATTTTTTAATTTTAAACACCAAATTATATGTAAACTTAGCAGTTAATTGGAGGACGTAAAATCGAAGCACCAATTATCCTTACCCTCCTTCAGCCACCATAAACCCAAACCCCACTGTAACAAAAGATCCTCATCAGCCCACACGAGTACACACGCATTCCCCCGCCCAAGCTAAGCAAGCTATAAAAAATTATAAAAATTAGAATCGCACTAAAGTCTAACCAATTGTAAACTAAAATATTTGGAATCATTTGATCCACCACACTTCCAATCAAGTAATCATAAAATTATTATTATTTTTTTTTTTGATAATTTACACTACCAAATACCAGCAACAATCCCAGAGTACCACAGATCTATGCGATAACGAAATGAGAACAACCGTTAGCACGCGCCACGCAATAAAATTACTCCACTACACACACAATGGTGATGGTGTTGAACACACACACACGCTACACAAAATACAACTGATTAACCAAATTTCTCAAACGAAAGCAAAAAAAATTAAAAAAAAGAAAAAAAGCCCCAAGAAAAATGTGCCACAAAGCAGCTAAGTAAATTTGTAAAACCGAATTTAGTAAAAAACAAAAAAGAAGAAGTCGAAGATGCAAATTTGGTTTTATGTTGAAGTCAAAAAAGTTAGCAGCAACCAAAATTTGTGTCAACACTACAAGCAAAAAAAAAAATATACATAAATATAAAATATAAAGTAAGTAAAAAAAATGGTCCCATATCAACGCGCCACACAGGCCACCCGTCCGAAAGCTAGCTCCAGTAGAGGCTGTGTATGTATGTACTGCTGCGTGAACTGCAACGAATTCGCAACCACAAACAAACACCCCTTCCCGCCACCCACTCCCCGCTAGGCCCGACTTAAGGAATGTAAACAATCAAAAAAGAAATAAATTTTTCCACATTTGCTAAGTGTCAGCGCACAGCACAGCATTTCATAGTAAAAGCATAAATGCAAATACTACATAAGTCTATTTTAGCAAATATCGAAAGCAAACCAAAAAAATATAAATAAATAAATCCAAAGTTAAATTGCACAGCTGCTGCGGTGGTTGCGACTGTAGATAATTGTGCGGTCATCCAACCATCGCCGGCGAAATCTGGCAAAAGTACACGCAAATACAATTTTACAGTTATTAAATTTTCGCAATCGTATGCTTTTCAGTCGAAATTCAAGTACCTATCCCCACGAAAAAAAAAAAACAAAAAATAATAATCATTTGCTAAAGATTGTTCGTAGTTACCACCGTTACCGTTACCATTCGTTGTATTTTTTCCACTCGTTAATACCTAACTCGCTGAACTGACTTTTGTCTTTTGGGCTAATGCAACGTTTTATGCCTTTCTTCCACCTTGTCGTCAGGTCAACTGACGACAAATGCCACCACAACTACAACAAATTGCCACAAATCTAATTACACCAACAACAACAACAACTTTAACAACGTTCGTCACACCTTTGCCAACATAAATGCCTGTGACTACCGTCCTGCCTGTGCCTGTGCCGATCATCCAACAGGTTCGAGCATTTGTGGCCTTAACCTCACCACTTTCCCCGGCAACTGCAATGCTTCGAACAGTGGCAGCGGCGGCGCTAACTGTAGCAACAACAGCGCCGGTGGCAACACGTCGAGCTCCGGCGCCAACACGTCCAGCCTCTTGCCCGCCGCGCTCATGCAGGCCAACTCCCAGAATCAGCATCAGTATCAGCACCAGCACCAGCATCAGCATCACCATCCACACCACCATCAACAACAGCATGGCCAGAATGTCAGCAGCGGCGCGGGCAATGGTTGCAACAGCAACAATGCCAATCTCAGCAACGCCAACAGCGCCGCCGTCCAGCAGTCGCAAATGTTTGCCGCCGCCGCTGCTGCTGCCATGGCAAACATGGCGGCGGCATCCAGCGGCACGACAGGCGTGGCGGCCGGCAATGCGCACAACACCTCCGGCGGCAGCCTAACAACCGCCGGTAGCGGTGGCGCCGGCGGCGGTGACGATTTTCGCTGCGAACCATGCAACAAAAACTTGTCGTCGCTGACGCGCCTCAAACGCCACATCCAGAACGTGCACATGCGACCGACCAAAGAGCCGGTCTGCAACATTTGCAAGCGCGTCTACAGCTCGCTGAACAGCCTGCGCAACCACAAGAGTATCTATCATCGAAATCTGAAACAGCCGAAACAGGAGATCGGAAGCGGCGCGGATGTGACACAGTCGCCGGGTATGGCCGGCGTGGCCGTTATGCACAACCCCTACTATTCGTCGGTGAACCATCGTTCATCCTCATAGGGTTTCATGTACTTTGACTACCTGACCAATGTAAATTTTTAAGCAAACGCAACGGGCGGGCCAACTACACAAGCGCAAGGAGGGGGGTAGACGTTAGAAGCGATTGTGGTGAAATTGTTATGTTTTCAGGTGCTCGTTAACATACTTACATATATAGGGAGTAAATTTATTAGACCGTTACGATGGCTAAATAAGTAGGCTTAAGTTAGGTTTGGACGCAAGCGCGACAAAATTTAAACTTGTTTGTATATACATATATACTTTACATACTTACATACATAAATATGTACATAGTAGCAGAAAAAACAGAGAGAGGATACATAACGAGTATATGATGTGGGAGATCGCACGAGCTTTCAGAAATAGATAGATAGAGCGCGTNGCAACAATGCCAATCTCAGCAACGCCAACAGCGCCGCCGTCCAGCAGTCGCAAATGTTTGCCGCCGCCGCTGCTGCTGCCATGGCAAACATGGCGGCGGCATCCAGCGGCACGACAGGCGTGGCGGCCGGCAATGCGCACAACACCTCCGGCGGCAGCCTAACAACCGCCGGTAGCGGTGGCGCCGGCGGCGGTGACGATTTTCGCTGCGAACCATGCAACAAAAACTTGTCGTCGCTGACGCGCCTCAAACGCCACATCCAGAACGTGCACATGCGACCGACCAAAGAGCCGGTTTGCAACATTTGCAAGCGCGTCTACAGCTCGCTGAACAGCCTGCGCAACCACAAGAGTATCTATCATCGAAATCTGAAACAACCGAAACAGGAGATCGGAAGCGGCGCGGATGTGACACAGTCGCCGGGTATGGCCGGCGTGGCCGTTATGCACAACCCCTACTATTCGTCGGTGAACCATCGTTCATCCTCATAGGGTTTCATGTACTTTGACTACCTGACCAATGTAAATTTTTAAGCAAACGCAACGGGCGGGCCAACTACACAAGCGCAAGGAGGGGGGTAGACGTTAGAAGCGATTGTGGTGAAATTGTTATGTTTTCAGGTGCTCGTTAACATACTTACATATATAGGGAGTAAATTTATTAGACCGTTACGATGGCTAAATAAGTAGGCTAGTAAGTTAGGTTTGGACGCAAGCGCGACAAAAGTTAAACTTGTTTGTATATACATATATACTTTACATACTTACATACATAAATATGTACATAGTAGCAGAAAAAACAGAGAGAGGATACATAACGAGTATATGATGTGGGAGATCGCACGAGCTTTCAGAAATAGATAGATAGAGCGCGTACAGACAAGAAGAGNCTGCAACATTTGCAAGCGCGTCTACAGCTCGCTGAACAGCCTGCGCAACCACAAGAGTATCTATCATCGAAATCTGAAACAGCCGAAACAGGAGATCGGAAGCGGCGCGGATGTGACACAGTCGCCGGGTATGGCCGGCGTGGCCGTTATGCACAACCCCTACTATTCGTCGGTGAACCATCGTTCATCCTCATAGGGTTTCATGTACTTTGACTACCTGACCAATGTAAATTTTTAAGCAAACGCAACGGGCGGGCCAACTACACAAGCGCAAGGAGGGGGGTAGACGTTAGAAGCGATTGTGGTGAAATTGTTATGTTTTCAGGTGCTCGTTAACATACTTACATATATAGGGAGTAAATTTATTAGACCGTTACGATGGCTAAATAAGTAGGCTTAAGTTAGGTTTGGACGCAAGCGCGACAAAATTTAAACTTGTTTGTATATACATATATACTTTACATACTTACATACATAAATATGTACATAGTAGCAGAAAAAACAGAGAGAGGATACATAACGAGTATATGATGTGGGAGATCGCACGAGCTTTCAGAAATAGATAGATAGAGCGCGTACAGACAAGAAGAGTAGGGGAAATAAATGAAAGTGATGAAGTGATGCACCACAACACAACCTACTTAATTGGCCAGCGCAAGCGTGCAGATGAACAGTTTTAGTGTAAACGAAGGTGCGATCCCTAAAATAGCTTTAATGTTCTCAAACTTACAACAGAAATAACGCCTTAGATAGTTTTAATCCGCCTATTTGCTATGAATTTTTTATATCAAAAAAAAAAAGTGTTTAGGAATAATTGGGAATGTATGCATAGCCATGCTTGTGTACGTAAAATTGGAGGGCCGAACGACCGACCGACCGACCGACCAGCCAAACGACCAGCCGATCGAACGACCACCGACCGATCAGGTGAGCGCAAGCGTGCGTTACTGACGGTGACGCGCCGAATTGAGGGAGAAAGTTAACGGTATAATCATAGCATGTAAATAACTTAGATTTTAGATACATATATCTATCAATAATTCACCACATACATACATACATACATTGTATTTTGCTAGATTAAGGCATTTTATGAGCGATTGAGATACTTTTTACTTCAGTTGTGTTCGTTTTTAATAAAAATCGTTTACTAATAAACATATTCATATATTTAAATTTACATATACAGATATATCTACATATGTATATATATATATACATATAAACGTATTGTTAATCTAGTACTTAGTTAGCGAATAAAGCATTTTGTTTAGAATCGCATATTCGTGCATACTTATTAGTCTACACAAAAAATGTTATGTTTTAAAAAATAATACAATATGTATAATTAAATATTTTTAAAGTTCATAAATGAAAAACAAAAAAACAAAACAAAACTACAGTTTCTGGATATTTTGTATGTAACGTAATGTATGTCACAGGTATGTGTTGAAAGTATACAAATAGTCCATATAATATGTGTATAAGTATGTGTGTTTTCGCTATCACAGTCGTGTGGTCGTGCTCTGGAACCAATTGGTATAGCGATTTATTTTGAAATCTTTGAAATCGCGCAGAGCAGTGCGTGCAGTGCATAGTTGAGGCTACAAATTAGAAAAAAAAAAACACTGTCATGAATGCAACCAATCAAGCAGCAACAAATCAGCAGCATACATACATATCTCATTGTTCACACACTCATCAACGAATTACCCAAACATAAATTTCAATTGGACTTAAACTAAAACTAAATTATTTTATTTTAAAAAATTTTATAATTTTTTTTTTTTACCTATGCATTTAAATTATTAGTTTCGAAAATCAAAAGTAAAAAAAAAATTAAAATTTAAGTGAAACCCCGAAAATCGCCAACTACAACACATTACCCTGAACCCTCTGCCTCGCCATCCAAACCTCTCCCACACACACGCCCCAGTGCCTTTCACTGATGCCGTTACCGCCACAAAAACTACTACTACTACTACTACCACCACCATCACAACCGCAATCCACCCCGCACCCACCTAATCAGCTATGCGTCCGAGATCCAGCGGATCGAAATAGCCGCGCATTATTTTACCACTCAAGCTTGGTGGGTTGCAGGTTGGTCTACTTCCCCTCGACAAAAAAAAAAAATAAACCAAATCAAATAATAAAGCGAAGAGAAGCATCAAAAGAGACACTAGTGACAAAAAACTTTAAAAGCTTAACAGAAAAAAAGCAAAGAAAATTTGAAAAAGGTATAAAGAAATTAAATCAAAACATAAACTACAAATCAATCAGGCCAAAAATGTTTCAAAATTACAATAAAACAATTCGAAAGTTTTCGCCAAAAAGGCAACGCAGAAAAATTTTATAAAAAAAATAACAGAAAAAATTAATGAATTTTTTTTCGCAAATCGCGCTTATAAAAACGAAAATCTCGTTGAAATCCCGTACTGGAGCACAAAGCATGTTTTGTTTATCTTACGTTTTTGTTTCGAAATTCCAACAATCGTGGCTACAAAATTTAGCCGCGCAACGTAACTCACGCTCGGTCGCAAACGGATAAGCAACAGTTATAGCAATTGGTTCCAATGACATTGGGACGCGCAGTCCTCCGCTAGCTTATGCCACGAGAGCGAGGAGAGGAGAGAGCGCTGTCGCGAGCAATGGAAAGGCGACTGGTACTCCAATTGGCGTACCAGATACCTATCATATTGCCACCACAACGTTTTCTTCTCATCATGCTTTGCGTTTGTATGTGTATGAGTTTGAAACGAAATGCAGAACCCGATCCCCGAATATATTCTAACCACTTCTAAGCCTTAACTCCAATATCGAAGAAGAAGACCAACGATTTACTGCCATAACAAATTATTTGGCTTGTTGATACAAAAGTAAAGTAAGAAGTAAGAGAATTTTTCAACAACAAGAACAACAGCAACAGAACAGTTAAACGTTTGAACATTTGGTTCGCATTTCTCATATCGAAATTGATTTATTACAAAATTCTAATGATACATTTTTGAGCCTGGATTTGTTAGTGTACAAAGACATTTAAACACAAAAAACAAAACAAAAAAACCCGAAAACACACTCACGCGACACGCACGAGATTTGTTCTCAAACCAAAAAAAAAACCGAACTGTTGTACACCGAGTGACATACATATGTAGAGCACTACAAACATAACGAACACACTGTCACATGGACGTTGAGTACACGGACACACCTACATACATAAAACCAAAAACGAGCAAACCAACTAAGCAAAAGAAAACAAAACAAAACAGAAATACTAAACCCAAGAAAACCAAAAAAAAAAACAAAACAAAACAAGAAACAAAATTAAATACAAGCAAATAACTAAAAACAAAAACAATGTTAGAAAAATGTTAGCAAGCAAACAAAGTCACTATTGTCTCTTTTTTTCTTCTCTTCCTATATGTCATATAGGTGGAAGTACCAACCTGCTTGGCGGCGTCAGTCCTAATGCAAGTAGTAGTAGCAACCAAAAACTTCAACATGAACAACTCCACCATTCCTCCACCACCACCACCAACACCACCACCACCACCAACAACACCACAGCCACAGGCACTGCTACCAGCATAACTCACCAGTTCCATAGCCATCATCAACAGCAGCAGCAACAACAACAACACCAACACCTCCATCATCACCACCACCAACAGCAGCAATCATCCTCGCCGCATCACCAACAGCAACAGCAACAGCATCATCATCAGCAGCAACAACAATTGTTCGCCCACCACTTGCGCAACGAACGCGACCCGGACCGTTTGACGACCACCGCCTGCAGCCCGCACTCGCCCGAACACCGCATGCCAAAGCGTCCCGCCAGCGAACAATCGCACCACATACACGCCCATCACTCGACCGCTTCGTCGCCATCTTCTGTGATTGCGTCCACACCACCGCCACTACCGCCGCCGCAACACATGAAACCACCGTCGCCGCATCACAGCCACCAGCATCCACATTTCGGCCACCAACAATTGTCGCTCGGCATGTTGCCATCCCACCACCTACACGCCCATCACGATCTGGCTGTGTCTGCCGCCCACCACCACCATCACATGTCGCGCACCGGCTCGCCCATGGATCATCACCACCTGTTGCACCACCGACGCTCCTCGCTGTCGCCATCGCCCACCGGCCGCGGCTCGGCCGGCTCCGCAGCTGGCATACTCTCCTCGACGCGCGGTGGTGACATGGTTGGCGGTAGCAGCCGGCTGCTGTTGCCGTTGCCACTGAACGCCTGCCACCGATGTGACGTGTGCGGCAAACTGCTCAGCACCAAGCTGACGCTGAAGCGGCACAAGGAGCAACAACACCTCCAGCCACTCAACAACGCCGTCTGCAATCTGTGCCACAAAGTGTTTCGTACGCTGAACAGCCTCAACAATCACAAGAGCATCTACCACCGCCGGCAAAAGAACCACCACTCGTATTTCCACCACAGCAGTGCAGTGGGCGGCGGCGTGGCGGGCAGCAGCCCCAGCAGTCGATTGCATCAGTCGCTCAGCTCGCTGAGTGCCGCAGCAGTTGCCAATAACGGCGTCGGCGCGGGCGGCAATGGCAACGCAGTGGCAGCAGCGGCTGCAGCAGCCGCCGCCGCAGCAGAACTCTTACTCTCACCGATAGTGGGCGCAGCAGCGGTGGCAGGTGGTGGCGGCAGCGGTGCTGGCCCCACAGTGCAACTTTCACACGCCGGCCAGCAGCAGTCTTCACCCAATATGGTGAAGCCCTGCATGGATTTCTTATAAGATCAACATCACCTGCTGCAGCAGCTCTTCCATGTTGCTCTGAACACGCCACAGCCGCCCCCGCCGCCCGCTCTTTCGGCCAGCATGAGCCCGCTGTCTGCGATGGGACAAGGAGCCATGCCCGTCCCTACAATGGTTGACATGCCGTACGGACATCAACTGCCGCCGACCGTAGATCTCACACAAATGGAACACTACGGCAGTGCGAGTGGCGGTGGTGGGGGAGCAGGCAGTGGTGGCGAACACTATGAGCGCATGAATTTACTGGAGCACTGAGCAGCGCAGTATCGAATGTGGTAAAAGCCACCAGCAAACTAAAGCAACAAACCGACAAAAACCGATCGTACCGATAAAGTGACCAAGAAAAAACAAAAAAATAAATAAATAAATAAATGTGACCAAAAAGTGAAAATTTGAGCTGAGACTCTTAGCAGCGGAAAAAAATACTTAGTTCGACACAAAGCGAGAGACCGACCGACCCTCCCACAGTTAAACGAGCTAAAAGAGAGAGAAACAAACTGAGAAAATATAAGCCAGCGTACGAATGGCAAATTAAAAAGAAAAGCGAGAAACAAAAAACTGTTAAATTGAAAAAAAAAAAGGCAAGAATGCAAAACTGTGATTTTTTACATCTATTTTTTGAGTTTTACGAACAAAACATTACTTTTCGATGTACAACATCACTGACTTTTTTAAAAATGCACAAGTATGTATGCATGGAAGTGTACTTTTTGGTGGGGCCAACATTGTGCACACATACTATGGGAAATCTTAGCCTAATTTACACAGTCTTACATGCAATCACACACACACACACACACACACGAGCGGGTATTTAGAAGGACTGATCTACTACTTATTTGATGGTTCGCTCATACTCTCCCACAGTATGCGCAAACGAACTGACCAACAAGAAGAAATCTTAAGGTGAGGCACAAAGGCCTAGACGAAATTTATTTGTGTGTGGTTTGGGATAATAAATTAAAAAAAAAAATAAATAACACATAAAAAAATAAGTTTTGCGCGTGAAATAAGTGAGCCGGGGTAGAATTTGAATAAAATTGAAGACTGTTAGGTGAATTAGATTTTTTGTTTTTCTTTTTACACTTTTACTTTGGCAGGAGAAAACATTTACACATACATACAAACATGCATACATAGGTGTAGAAAAGGATGCTGCAGTAAACTATTTTACAACAATAAATCGAAATAAAAAATAACTAACAACATACACTTAAATACATACACACACACACCTACACACTCTAACTAATGCATAGGTAGATTGATAATAATGAGATGTGCAATTTTTATTTGTTGACAATACAAGATTAGTTTTAGTATTATGTTTTCTCATTTATAAGAAGAATAAATTAAAAAAAAAAAAAATATGCAAAAATGCAAAAAAAAAAATTTAAAAAAATTCTACCGTTACGTGTTAACGCCTCCGATACGAGCGCACAATGGTGGTATGCCCTGCAGAGTAGCCACCCTAATGTGACACACATAACATACTAGCATATGCATACGCATGCTCACCATTTTAGTGGACTATTTGTGTATTTTCAATTTGATACATATTTATGAATATTGAACATGTTACAACAACAACAACAACAACAACAATAATAATAATTGCATCTGTGAATGTATAACTACTTGTAAGCAGAAATGTTTTGTTTTTTATCTTTAATGTTTTACAAAAACAATGTAAAAATCATATGTATAAATATGTATGTACATATACACAAAAACATACCAGAATCAATCCTTACCTACATATACATATATAGCCAATGTATGTAAGCGTTTACCTACTAGTTCTTAATACATTCATACAAATATTTAGTTACATATTTATGCAGCAAATAAGCATACATACATACATACACACATACATTTGTAGATATGTATACAAACTAATCCAAGATTTAATAACGGAAGCATAGGATTTTCAAAGTTTTAAACTAAAATTAGGCTAAGCGCAAAGAAAGGGAAGGGAAGCAAACAAAAGGTGCAGTTCGTTTTACACACACATGTAAAAAAAAATATGTACATACATACAATATATACATACGCAAACATGTACATAGATATTACACTTTGGATATATGTAAGCATATGAATAAACTATTTACTAGCTCCCTATTAACAGTTTACATAAAAAAAAAAATAAAAATTATTTTCAAATGCGGCTGCGAAATGAAAAAAAAAAAATATTGCATATTCCAAAATATTTTTCAAAAACAATTGTAACCATTCGAAATTGCGGGCGCTTTTTTACATGAAATACATATTAAATGAAACTAGAAAATTTTGCTTGACACCAAAATTATTAATGAAAAAAATTCAAAATTCAACTTTCGGAAGTAAAACTAAAAATTTTTTAGTTAGGCACTCAAGCTTTAGTGAAAACTATTAGTTTGGCGTCGATATTTTAAATATGTATTGAATAATTACAGATTTTTGAGCTTAAATTAATTTTAATTTTTTTATGAAGTTTTTTTCTTTATTAAGCTCAGAACGAAGTAAATTTAAAAAAAAAACTGCAGTTTTAGTTTTATTAATTCGACTATCAATTAAAAATTAATAAAACAAAAAGTACAGAATTTTATTTAATTTGCTGGCCCTCGAGCTTAACAAGGATTTTTTTTTTTCATACTGAAAATTGAGTTTCATTGCAATGAAAGCAAGGACTGATAGGTTTTAGGCAATTTAAAATGGAAAAAATTCAATGAGAATATATGCAATTTTTTTTTTTTAATTTTTTTTATAATATTAACTACTCTATCGGTTTTGTGGAATTATTACTGAAAAATTGTGATGCACGTTTAATTGGCATTTTAAATGGCGTGTGAATATACATATATACATATGTACATATGTGTGCGTGTCACACATAAAAAATTTATAATCAAAATTTTTGATAAATTAGATCTAGAATATGGAGGAAAAAAATATTGGGAAATAATTTTTTGCTTTTCGTTTGAAGAAGACTGAACATTGGCATTTCGAGAGAAGTAAAATTTTAGAAAACCAAAAATTATTTCACAACCCTTAGTGTAAACATTTGTATGACTTTTTATAATGGTGAGCGAAAAATTTAAAAAAAAGTTAATTACTTATGATTTTTACCTACTTTGTTGTAGCTTAGAAAAATCAAGAAATCAAAAAAAAAAATTTTTTTTCTGAGGAGAAAGTCTGTTTTTAATATTCGATACCAAATTTTATTATTTACATAAATTTTTTTTTTAATTATAATTTTTAATGGACTTTTTTTATTTT